CTGTAATTACAGGTGTGGGGGACCTAATGTTGATTCAGCCTATGATTACAAGCTCAGATACCTGAATGGATTCAGATACGTGTGTGCGTTCCTGGAGGAGCCACATAATGCCTTGAAAGAGCCTTTGAATATCATGCACATGCGAAGGCTCTTTGTAAGAAGCCCTATTATTATCTTAAGTGCTCCATTATCTATGAATACCTCTATTCTGTGGTCACGGATGACGGCGGTGGTTGTTGGCCAGGCCAGCTGAGGTCCGCAGTAGATGCTGGAGATGAAAGGGCTGCTATGTTCCATACTTCGTTTAGCATTATACGCTTATGACCCGCATTTTGTGAGGTTGGATAAGCCTATTCATACAGCGTCCATAGCTGTGGTGAGCAAAGTATTTTTTTTTTTCACAATGAGTATGACCTCAAACTTGTCCTCGTCTGGCAGGTACAATGGTGTGCCAAAGTTTAGGCGCCCCAGTCGAATTACGTGGTTTGCGAATCAGTTCAGAGATTCTTTACAGAGGACGGACTTAAATATGGCACGTTAAAATAAAAACATAAAACTTAACATTTAACATTTACACATTTGTGCATTTTTTTCCAATATGTTAAATTCGGCAAATAAATAATGCACTTTTTTAACATGTTTTCTAATTAGAAGCCCAACAAAAGATGCTATTAAACCAGGGGCACCCAATCATTCCCTATCATTCCTTCATGTTGTCTCTCTTTCTCTCTCTATCCTTGTGTTTGTCCTTTACCCCTTAAAATCCCAGGCTTATTACACACTAAGGCTCATTATTTAGTAAGTACAGGGACTTCAATGCAAACTGGTTGAGCTATTCTTAGGTTATAGAAGTGTGTAATAAAACTGGGCCAGCCGGTGGACCCTGGCCATTTAAGGGTTAACTGTGTTAGAGGCTGTGAAGATATCTAACCTAAAATGTCAAATAAAATAAAAAATAAAAGTACATTTCTCATTCTCTATGAAGTAATTAGTATAATTACCAGAGGAGCATATTACAGTAAAGAAAATCAAAACGGGATAAATTGCTGTTCTTGCTTATGGATTTAAATGGTAGAAATGTTCTCGGTAACACTTTCTATGAATGTCAGCTTTGTAAGCATCTATAAACACATTCATAACGTGTTATAATGCATTCATAAGACATTATAAACATAGCTATAAATATTTATAAAAATGCACTATACGTTATAGCCATGCTTATTATGCATTATGAATTAACATAATACATTATAAGTATTAATCATAACAAATTATAAGAGCTCATAAGTCGTATTAGTCTGCTCTAAGTAAAGTGAAGCGTACTGTACTAAAGCCTCCTCCAGTGTTAAGAGTGAGGCTTCAAGTTGAAGTATTTACTGAAGGATTTACTGAAACACTAAAACATACACAGTAAAGCACATTACAGGCTTCAAATGTCAGAGTTTAAACTAGAGCTGCCATCAGTGTTTTACCCAATGTGGGAAAGGTAATGTACACCACCGTTAGCTTGGTATTTGTCTTTACTTTACACTCTCCAAGCTGGGACTGACTTCTTTGGCACTGACATTATAACATGTTATTAACACTATTTATAATGCATTATATTAACACTTCATAATGTATAATAAACATGGCTATAAAGTGTAATTCAGTGTAATTCTTTTTTATAAATATTTATAACCATGTTTATAATACCTTATGAATACATTATAACGTGTTATAAATGTGTTTATAGATGCTTACAAAGGCGACATTCATAGAAAGTGTTCTCTACAGGTATCAGTGAATGTAGACAGGTTCAAGGCTGTGAATACAATGATTACTGTGTGTAGAAGTTCATACCTATGTGTTAATGTAAGCTAATGTTCAAGGAGCTAATGGGCAGCTAGACTGTCACTAACAAATACATTATTAATTGAGTAATCTACCTGTCATTTTGAATCTACTTTAATAATACAATCTTTTTTTAGACTTAATTAAACAGTAACAAACTCTGGAGAGCCTTTCAGGGGGTCTAAACTCTGTCCTTGATAACAGATAAACTTGGAAGCCTTGTATAACTATATGACATCTAACCATGAAACGCCTATAATTTAATGTGGGCCTTGTTATTTACACAGTTCACAGGAAGATGTGTAAGTCCTAGCATTACATACTGTGATCAGTCTTGTGACTCAAAATGTTTTTTTCGCATGTAATATCATGGGGAAGGTCTGAATCACAACACAATTTTGTTTGTTCTATCATTTTCCTCAGCAAGTTGCATGCAATTACACACTTCCACCAGAGGGGTCTCCAAATCCCCAAACCACATAATGTAGCTTTAATTTTTCAAGCAATGCTAAACCTTTAACTTCAAGCTCTATGTTTTAATGCTGATGTGAACATGGCCTTGAAAAGAAGAGGCATCAGCCTCGCCATTTTCCCTTGTCGGAATCCCCACACCGTCTTAACAACTATTCCAATACTGTATTTGAGGAAGTGATGGGGCCAGTATGCACTCTGGGAAGAAGACAGGGCGGTGGAGGGAGTGTGATGCTCTGAACAGTGTTCTGCTGGGAAACTCTGGATCCAGGCATTCATATAGACGTCAAATTGACACGGTCCACTTACCTGCCTAACATCATTGTGGACAAGGTACACCCATTCAGTGGCCTTGTTCAGCACACATATTGCTCGAAATGGTTTGAGAGGCACAGCGAGGAGTTCGAGGTGTTGCCCCACCTCAATCTGATCCAGCTGCTGTAGAATGTGGTGGAACAAAAAGTCCAATCCGCAGCGGCTCCACCTCGCAACTTAGAAGACTTACAAGATCTGCTGCTAATAACTATGCATTTGTAATGAATTAATACACTAAAATATGGTGTCCGTTCTGCTGCTGCAAATCACCCTGTAAAGCCTGGAATAATCATTTAAGTCAGATGCATCAGGTCAGATTTTGCAGGAATTTTTCAGACCACGTTGTATGTCTTTACGTATTAATGTCACACAAAGCCCCTTCAGCTCAAATACTCTTTCAATGTGCTCACAATTATCAGATTCATCCGCTCGTGGAGGTCCGAGGCACAACCCACGTTACAAAATGTTCTTCCGCACCTTGCCTGCAATTCCACATTTCCACCAAAGAGAAATCCTCAAATGTGAATATTGCAGCTTTAAAGTTTTAGCATTTTTATTATGTTATATAAAATATATCGCTTTCAGGTTTCAGGTATTTTTCAGGTTTTGACCTAATTTAAAAATGCCTACTTTATACTGTGTGTAAATTTCATGATGAATGGACCAAAAGAAACAGCTCAGAATGACGTGGAAAAAAGTCTGGTTCCATTAAAACTAAAGTAGGTTTTTTTCTTCTCCTCTAAAGTTACCATTTTGGAGATACGAGGTTTTGTTCCAGCAGCAATATGATGAACGTCACAGGCACCAGCATGTTCATTCACACACAGACCAGTGGTCTACGTGAAAGCCAACACATGTCATGAGAGCAAAAGTTGTTATGCTTATTTGTTACATGCAGTTTTTTTTCTCTAAATGAATTCCAGTAAACTCCACAGCTTAAAAGATTAAAAGTGTATACAGTACAATATAATCTGATTAAAAAAGTTATGACTGAATGAGTTGGGAACAAAAAAAAAGGAAGCAAGCCTCAGCTGCACTTTTATGAAGCATTGTAATATTTGGCAGGCTCCAGCGCTGCAGACATTCCACTGTTGCGCAATGTCGCTTGGCTTGAAACGTTAAGCAACAGAGGGAAGAGACCAAACACACTGTGTACTGGCACACAGATACGAGTTCCTTCCCGCAACACAGGCACACGTGGTTTTATGCAATGTGTGGACGGGCCTTGTATGTACGGTCATATGCAGAAGTTTGAACGACCAAATTATATGTTTTGCTGATCTTCTAAGTAAAAATAAGTCCACATATCCTCTACATGCAAAAGGGAAATTTCACCATTTTTACCAAATTTCTACATAATTAATTAACTGAGATGTAAACTAAAGTCATTCAGAGTGGTTTGATGTGAAATGCTCCATTATAAAGAAGCTGACCAACTCACATTCCTTTACAGTGGTGGTGATAGGAACCGTGATGTCTACAACATAAATATAGCCATTTTATTATACCATTCGAAACCACTGGTGAACAAACATCTGTATTTTTGAGTTCTTCTATGTAATGTTGATAATGATAAAAGTGGTAATTCTGAAAAACATATACATTTTCTTTAGTCTTAGGCCAGAAGCAGATAAGGTAAAATAATGTATCATACATCAGGCATCATAACCATTTCATGTAATGCTTTAGATGCACTTCAGACGTCTGGTTCCTATCACCACCACTGTAAACAATTCTGAACGGGTACGTTTCTCTAGAAAGGAGCATTTTACATCACACCACTCTGAATTACTTTGTTTACTACATTGTCTATCTTAACCATATCATTATGCAAAAAATGTTGTGGGAATTCCACTTTAAATGTGGCATTTTCTGCAAATTGTAGTGCACAATTTCTGCTTAAAATATTGGGGAAAATAAAACATCAAATATAAAATATCCCATAACTTTTGCACAGGCCACATTTTATCCATGATTTATTTCTCCCAATATTTGACCAGGGGCGCCCAGACTTTTGCACACGGCTGTATTTTCACACATAAACTACCCATGAGTCATTTTCAACTGACATTGACCTCAGTGACCAAATAGAAATTTTTATCCTTTCAGTTCCAAACCAATGAAACAGTTTGGTAACAATGCAATAACAGAGGCAGGATCACTGTGTTCTGTCGGTCAGTCCTGCTTGTCCCCAGTCTCAGCTACAAAATCAGGATATTTTTGGCCTGAAAAATGTACAAAAACAAACACAAACACGAGGCCCACACTTTCTGAAGATCCGGAGTTTCCCACATTGGACAGCAGCCACAGCCTGGGCCGTCCTGCCTGAACCCGCCCCTTATCCAACCCCTTATCCTACCCCCACAAAAATGAGGGCAAAACAAACACCCACAAGCACACGGCCTTCAGTCAGCCTCGTGGCTTCTTAAAGGAATACAGACCTGTGCAACTAACGGGAAGTCACTGCTGGAAGCCGCTGCTCTGAAGTCAGTGCGGAAACGTACCTATTTTGAAATCACTGCGTGAAGACGAGTGGAAACAAAAACAGCAGCTTTGCAAAACATAGTGCTGGAGGAGAGGCAAATGACCACAAATGACCAATACCTATGACTCTATGAGAAATTAGGCACAGCAGTCATTTGATAATTTCAATATTTTGGAGTTTTTCAAGGAGACGAATCGGGTACAAGGGTTGCTGAAGAAGACGTTTGACAGGTTGACAGTTTAACAGTTAAGAAAGCCTCGGAGCATCTTGGGAGACACTTCTCTGCATGTAAGTAACATTCTAACTTAGCCGGTTTCTGATTGGTCATAAGTGAATTCTCTTAAGTACTTTGCTTTTGGCCTGTAAACTGCTTTAACGTATCTTCTCTTCTCGTGCCAAAGTTTGTAACCAGATTTAAGATCTAAGAACTGACCTAGGGTCACGTATAGTATACAAAAAGAGTGCCAAAAGGGTTCTGCGGAGCATCTTTCAATGAAAGAACCTTTCAATTAATGTTTTTTTCTAAGAACCATTTTTGTAAATCAGCTGTGCGAGTGTGACGACCTTATTTTTTAAAGTTTAAAGAACCTCTGCATAATGTCAAGTTCAAAATGTTACCAATTAAAGTTTTTTTTTTTTTTAGAACCACATGGTAAAACCAAGAACCATGTAGGAACCTTCATTTTCAAGAATGTGCACATGACCAGACTATTTAACCATAAGCTTCAAACCAAAGAACAAATATGGCTTTTCTGTCAGTTGAAATTTAAGGATGGACAGACATGTGCAAAAGTTTGGGCACTCCTGGTCAAGTGACACATTTTGTGAATTTTCTAACTCCTACACAGAACACACTGCTGCACATATTAACCCACAATTACTGCCTCTTTATTGGAGTTAACATATTGGGAAATATGTGTGGCCTGTGCAAAAGTTTTGGGACGTCTTATATTTTACGTCTTTTTCCAATATGTGAACGTAAACAAAACTATACAAAAAAAATGCAGAAAAAGATGTGATATCTAAGTATATTTCAATGTATAAACTTATTTTCGATTTGTGATTTGACTGGGGGGTGACGACTGGATCTCGCATACTGAATATTTGACTCCATCATAGAATCTTAGATTTCCTCACAGTTTAATTACACATTTTGAATACAATTCGGAATATTTTAAGCATATACTGAACAGTTTAAGGCAGAGCAGGGCTGGTTGGCACTGTCTTCACTCTCTGCTTCATATTTCAGCCATAGTATAATCCAACCGACAACAAATGAAAGCAGACCTTCTAACACTGAGTGTGTTTTCAAGCGCTTAATAATCCGATAACTGCGAGATTTTGTAAGTAACCCGATCAACGTGTTTACATACACTTGAGTAATCAGATAATAGGAAACTCCAGGTCTACATTAGTCAGACAGTAATCAGATTTCTGCAACCAGCCAATAAACTCACAGAAGAAGACGTGAAAAAAACGTAACATAAAACTCAAATTTCACATCGCGGCTAATTTAATTGCTCATTTCGTTGAGAAAGTAGTCAGTTTCAGTGTCGCTCCAAAAGTGTTTTGCTGCGTCTCGCTGCTCACTTATTTTCCGGTACAGCAATCTGCTCTGCATATGCGCAGACTGAGAAATCCGAAAGAAATCAGAGTAAGAGTTTACATGCACTGAGAAATCTGATTACTGAGCTAAAATCCAGCGCTCTTAATCAGATTTATAGATGAGAATATGGTGTTTACATGACCCTTTGAATAATCGGATAACTGCAGAAATCTGATTATGATCGGATTATTGAGTGCATCTAAATGCACTCACTGCTAAAAAATGCAAGCACTTCACCATTCACGCCTAAATTCATGTTGGGGCTGGTTGGCACAGTTAGGGCAAGGGTGCCTATATCCTGGGCCTGGAGATCAACAGCCCTGATCTAACATACCTTCAGGGGCATAAGATACGATACGATACACTTTATTGTCAGATTTCTCGGAACTTTTTCTTGCATCATAACGGCTCCTTGGGAAAATGAGGGGTAGGGAGAGGGAAAGATGACAAACCATCAGACAAACACAAACATTACAAACCACAAACCACAGCAATACACTTTACACCATTACCCGATTCCACTAAACACCCTGCACCCCAATATCTGTGAGTTACTGCCTGTGTACTTCTCTATCTGAACAGTTCACTCATTTGGTTAAGTATTATAATCTGAATATTAGAGCAGTGTTAGAGTGCTGAATCTGAATTTCCCAATGTGGCAGATCTACTGGACCAGGACTGGGCAGCCCAGTGTTAACTGGACGGTTGACACCATGTTAAAATGCAATAATTAAAAAAATGAGGTAACAAATAAAAAAAAAATAGAATCGAATAATCAGATCTTTTCATTTTTAGCCTTGCAAACTTTGAGCTTTGAAAATTTCTGTGTAATTCAAATGTTGCCAAGCTAATAAATTCAGATTGGTTTGATGTGAAAAGGTCCATTGTGGAGAAACTGACTTATTCAGATTTCTTTACAGTGGTGGTGATAAGAACCAGGGGTTGCCATGTCTACAACACAAATATGGACATTGTATTTACTATCCAAAACCACCAGTGAACCAACACGAGTCTTCTGAGTTTATATGGAACGTTAATGATACTAAAATAGTGGTAAATCTGAAAAAAATTCTTTGGGGACTATTTTGCCTTAAAATGCCCAAAATGTACCATGAATGTATTTAAAAATGCATGTTTGAGGCCAAAATCGTTTCTCAAAACTATTGTAAAACATTGTATTGTATTTGTAATCCTTTCATGTAATGACGTGTGAGAGCTTTTAGATGCATTAAAGCTCTTGAAATGTCTGGTTCCGGTCACCACCACTATGAATAATTCTACCTTCTCAAGTTTCTCTAGAATGGAACGCTTCACATCAAACCACTCTGAATGAATTTGTTTACATCTAATCCTTTTAACTATGCATACGTTTTGAGAAATCGGTGGAATTCACTTTTAACTGAAAAAAATATAGACATTGAATGGCAACCAAATGAAGTTTTTCAGCATCTCTCCTTAAAACATTTCTTTCAGTTGGCAATTATGAATGTTGGTCACACTGATGCAGCTGAATTACCACCTTAAGATCCATAATTCCCAATCAATACAGTCTATTCTTTTCTTTTTTCTTATTTATGTGTAGATATGAAGCCAGACTCCGTTGCCATGAGTACGCTGAGCAGCGTGTGTAAGCAAGATGTGGTGTGCATCTTCGGCACGGGTGACTTCGGCCGCTCTTTAGGCCTCCGCCTGCTCCAGGCGGGGTATGAGGTCGTCTACGGATCCAGAGACCCCAAAAACTCAGCTTTGCTGCCCAAGGGGGCCAAGGTTATGACCCACGAGGAGGCGGCTCAGACGGCCAGAGTGATCTTCGTGGCCGTTCATCGAGAGCACTATGACTTTCTGACCTCTTTGAGCCCGGCTCTGGAAGGGAAAGTGCTGGTGGATATCAGTAATAACCTAAGTAGGGGTCTATACCCACAATCCAATGCTGAATACCTGAGCACACTGGTACCAGGAGCTGTTGTGGTCAAAGCCTTCAACACCATCTCCGCATGGGCACTGCAGTCTGGGGGGCTGGACGCCAACAGACAGGTATGAACAAAGATGATAATGTATAGTACTGCACTAGAGTCCCAGGACTCTTCCCAAGTCTCTGACTGGTTGGATCAGTAAGGGGCGGAGCAGCTTATTGGCTACAAGTTGGAACTAAACTCTGCAGGAAGGCAGCCCTCCAGGACCAGGGTTGGAGACCACTGGCCTAGTCAGTGGTCTGTAGTCTAATAAATACAACAGTACTAGATAGCTTTAGTGTAACTCATACCTCAATCGTCAAACAAAATCACTATAAAAACACATACAAAACAGCGCAAATGGACACCAGTAACCAGTTTTCACCCTTTCAGTAACCAGATAGCCAAGCACCTTGCCAACTTTAGCTTTTTGGCTTCCTAGCAGTAACATTAGCTATCTGCCTCCCTTCAAAACAGCCTACCCCCAACAATCCACCCCAAAGCGGCCTGAAGTTGTTCAAAAGCCCCTTAACCTTAAAGATGTATAATCAGATTTATAATCAAAGATTGATAATCAAATTTCCTAGCATTTAAACCAAATACAGTCACTGTAGTGACTATAGGGTGCGAGTTGGTGCACCTACATCCAATGTAGTGAAGTCCATGGGAACACATTAATGTAAAACATTAAATATGTTTGTGTGATACTAAAATTAAGTGTTATATTAAGCATGCAGCACAGGTAATAGAAATATAATAAAACGCAGCTCAAAAATTGCTTATCAGGCTGTCTGAGAACAGTCTGGGCATGATATTAAAATTCTAATGAGCATGCATGATTGATGCCCTCAGTCCAACACCCCCATCCTGCAACTCCACTGGTGCAGAACTAAACACAACAGCACAAGCGGAAAGTGAAACAGGCTCTACATATGCAGGTGGTTGGACTCTGCTGTGACCACAGCAACTAAAAACATCATTATTCTATTATTTGATGAGACGGTGTGCAGGGAATCCAGGGAAAGCTGGCGTGGGCGGTTGGGATAAACAAATGAACTGAAAGGATGGACGGATGGACAGATGACAGGCTGAAAGATGAGCCAGCTCAACAGCCCACTTATGCTTGCTAGGGTAGCTTTCACTTGGTTGTTAGCCTTTACTCCGTAAGAATCTCCACTCAGAGTGGGAACACGGATTTGTTAAAGCAGTGTAGGCGGGAAAAACGCATGAGCCTTGTGATTGGTGAGGGTACTGCTTTATGTACATGTGACCCTAAATTAGGACCACCCTAATTTTAACAGTGGAAGAGGAAAATTATGGCAAAATTCATCATCAAGTACCAGGCAATAATCATACTGTAGGAAGTTACATATCACTGTTGTTGGAAGAAAAACCTCTCCAAAATGATCACTTTACAGGAAAAGGAACAAACATACTTTCCTTTGAATGTAAGTCAATGGAACCAGAGTTTTTTCCAAGTAATTTTTGGCCATTTCTTTTGGTCCAAACTTCATGAAATTTATAGACAATGTAAAGGACAACAGACAGTTCCAAATTACGTCAAAAACTGAAAAAAGAGGTTTTCTTCCAACAGCAGCGAAATACTGGCCACTTTATTAGAAACCCATACCTTGCAGATGTGCTTTGCTAGTGTACAGTTAGGAACTGTGGCCCATCTGATGTCATGAATAAACTGTGTTAGCCCTGCATTAGTGGTCAGTTTCTGACGACAGACTGGACATTCTTGCGTGCCAGACTCCTTTCAACCTGGCAGTGACAGTGGCATGTTAAAAAACTACACTCTGTCATCATCTACCTATGTTGTGCACCTATAAGGTAGGCAGACCTCATTAAGTGGCAAATGAAAATGCAAGGTGTTTCTAATATGAAGTGGATGTTGTAATGCAATCTACATGAACAAACACAATCCTAATCTGTAATCCATCCTAAATCTTTGTCACTCATCTGTGGATCAAAGTGCAAAGTAACTGAAGGAACTGATCTACAACAAAACCCCAGACTCGTGTAATAATTAATCAAACCTCGACGCCTCCAGGCTGTAGCCTCTTCTCCCCGGATGATCTGAAACAAAACACCCAGGCCAGCACCGGAGTTTCCGCTAGTATTGTCTGCTGCCATATTTATGGACATGTTCCGAACATCCGGCCTGCTGTCATCCATGCTAAATTAGCTTTGGCGGGCAGGGATGTATGTTGGAAATACATCAGAATGGTATTGCCTCTCCAGAGACGCGAACGCGAGACACGGATTTTGTTCTCAGCTGTCAGAGAAGCTGCTGTAGGTTCAGACTTCATGCTTCAAGTACGATCTCATCACCCCGGCGAGAAAGCAGAAAGCACAGCATGGAACTCGGAACACAACAAAGTTAGGCACTCGCAATGGCGGGGTAACACGGATGCGTAGGCGTATGTGTGGTTCGCTATTGTTACCGCTTATTATCTGTGAAATGAGGCCAATATCATGGAAAAGTCTCGCTCCTCCTCGTCAGTGGGGGGGCTGGGGAAATTGGGTTCATGGAGTCTAAACCCAAGCAAGCAATTATGACCTCCCTCTGTGAGTCACTGACCACGTTCTGTTAGCACTGGGAGTGTGTGTGTGTGCGTGTGTGTGGCCAAATAAGGATGAACAGGTACACGTGAAATAGTTTAAAGTTTACCTATAGGGCAAAGTAACTAATGTCACAAAATATTGCTAAACCCCCTCACCCTGCCCCCTAAAGCCCATACCTGACAGATTTTTTTCCTCTGTTACTGGGTGGCAGTATGTCCAGATTAACTTATCTTAAATAATATCTATTTTTGGGAAATATTTTCAGTTGAAATAATTACTAATTTCCTTGAGTTATTACTGGGGATTCCACTGCAAAAGTAAATTAAGATGTAAACAAAGTCATTCAGAGTGGTTTGATGTAAAATGCTTCTATTTCTAGGACAGAGTCGCACTTGAGTCGCATGTTGACTGACTCGAGACTCAACTCGGACTTGCCCTTGCTCGCGAATCGAATCCGATTTAAGACTCGTGAAATTTCAGTTTGAGGAATGCACACCAGCAAAATGAGTTAGATTAGGATCAGCCAGCTCAATGTAGCAAATGAATAAACCCTGTCGTTTCAAACTTGGCACAAAGGTACCTGCAGTAAATGTTGTTGAGTGTTGAAAGAAAACAGGCAAAACACCTTGAAATGGTGAAAAGTTTTAGCTGAAGTTTTAGTAAGTTACAGATTATAGTCTTAACGATAACCAACTAAAACTTTACACTAATTACCTATTGAATGAGCCAGCTAGCATACTTGCTATACAAACTACAAACTAACCAGCTGTTTCAAGTTGTTTTGCCCCTTTTCCTCTTTAAAGGTGCCACAGAATTGAAAACTGTATTTACATTGGCATAGTTCAGTTACGAGAGCTCAGTACATAGAACTGACATACCGTAAACCTCAAAACTGGCGTCGCCTTCTTCCGATACAAAATCTGTATTTGCAAAAGAAGGTGGTGAAACGGGCCAATTCTAATATCCTAAACTGTTATGTAAGAGTCTCCTCTTATTAGTATTTACACCCCCAAAATCTATGTACAAGGACAACACAGCAACAGGAAAGAAGAATTGAATTTTTTAAATTTTTATTTCACACTCATTTTGCAGTTCTGCAGAAAGCAAAACTGAAGTATTTACAGTGCTCACTTACACATTTATAAAAGAAAAGAAAAAATAATAAAAACAAATAAATAAATACATAAATATGACAATGTATGCCTCATTAAATGCAAACCATTCTATAAATCTTCATTTAATGTTCTTGTAAAAAAGGAATGGGTGATTTTCGGAACCTATCAGTTCTCACTTTTGGAATCTGTAGTTTGTTCCTGTCTGACTGACCTGATATCTGGGCTCTTGAAGGTGGTAGCCACTTTCTGAAAGAGGAGTTTAGGAGACTAAAGGCAAACCGTCTACACAATATGACTCTTCTCTCTTTAAGGGTTGGTAATGCGAGAACTTGAAGGGCTTCTTGGTACGCAGAATAAGCCCTGCCGATGATGATTTGGCAGGGATGTTTCTGGACAGTCTCAATCTGGTTCGACAGATACTGTGTCAGGTTTCCATGCCATACTGGGCAGACGTACTCTAAAATGGGGCGAATATAACCAGTGTATATCAAGGTTAGGTCAGAGATTGCCACTCCGGTTCTTCTAAATCTTCTCAAGAAATGAAGTCTGGTATTTGCTTTCTTTACAGTAGCATATGTGTGATGGTTAATCTGACTGAATTAAAACTCCAAGTACCTTGATAATTTTGGAAGATGGTAGCCGTTTTCCAAGGAGCTGAACTCTCAGCAGGAAAGGTTGATGTTTACCTTTAAACAAGGCTGAAATTGGCTTCCTGTTCACCAGCTTCTTAATCAAATGTTCCGTTCCACCTTAAATGCTACTGCTTGTATAGGTGCCAGAATGTAACTGTGGCACCATTTACGGTGGAACGGAAATTCACAAAAAAAAAAAGCAGGCAAATAGGAAGCCAACTTCAACCCCCACACCTTTAACATGATCCTGAACAACTTCAATTGAAAGTTGTCAGTTTGCTTTGCACATTTCACTCCAGTTTCTCAAACCTTAGGCGATATCAGCATCTGACACTGCAGAGAGGGGCCGTTCTAGCTTGATTAGCATCACAACCCCAACAGCGACCTGTAAGTAGCCATGCTGTGTGATTTCATCCACTTTTTGACAGTTGAAGCCAGATATTGTCTTAAATCGAAAGGTTCACAGTGAGCTTTAATTGTTAGCTCACTACGATACTGTAGAGAATCTTCCTGAGTCAGAATTGTTCACAGTGATGGTGATAGGAACCAAGTGTCCAAAGCATTTAATACCACATCACTTAATAATACTACTCTCTAGCTGGGTAACTAACACAGCCTCACCATCAACAGAAATGCTATGTTTACCTCTTGAGAAAATTCTTTTTTTTACCACTAACGGCAGCATGCAGTCTAGTAAATGTTGCCATAGCGATAACATCCACTGAAAAGTTCTGTCAGTCTCTTTTATTTTATTTAAAAAAGGA